GAGGCAGCCAAGGAAGGTGTGTGGCTCAAGAATTTTATTACTGAGCTTGGAGTGGTTCCTAGCATCAAGAACCCTATACCGTTGTTTTGCGACAACAATGGGGCAATTGCACAAGCGAAAGAACCTCGGTCTCACCAGAAGACCAAACACATCGTTAGACGTTATCACATCATACGAGAAATCGTTGCACGTGGGGACGTTGAGATTTGCAAGATAGGTATAGACGACAATATCGCGGATCCGTTGACGAAGGCTTTGGGAAAGCCTAAACACGAGAGTCATACGTGGTCAATGGGCATTCGAGAAATGCTTGATTGGCCTTAGGGCAAGTGGGAGATTGTTGTATTTAGGTGCCCTAGCAGCAATCAAATACCTATGTAACTGTACACTTTATCATGAATGAAAGGCCTTGAAGTATGTTTTATATCTCGTGTAACATAACATAGCTTCAGTCCATAGACAATAGCACTTCAGTAACATAGATGAGGACTACGATGTTCTGATTATGAGACTGTTACTTCTTGACGAAGGCCGTGTCTAGAATATCCCTAGTCGCACTTTATCATAATACGGACGTCATAACGTATCGAGACTAGTACGTACGAGATGAGATAGTTGAGTCTCATAGACTATAGGTATTGTGATATCTTAATCTGTACGTAGGTGCATATTATATCGATAATATGTGACTGGATTGACCCATCTTGAGAATACTGCAGGGATCTACAGTAATGTGTTTATCAGTATTCTCAAATCGACCTTGCTATAACTATCCTCAGACTTGAAGTTATTACATTCTCTGATATGTGGGGCCGTATGCTTTGATTCATAACTAATGCTATTTGAAATACTGGTAGACGTACAGTTATGTGTTGGGTATGCCGCTAAGCATATTTAGAGATGTGAATAACAGATACATGATCTGTCCCTTCTACTGTATAGAAGTATAATGTCAATGGGCCCACTGAATAGTAGGACTTGGGAAAGTGCATGGCCATGCCCAGATATGTCGCTATCTAGAGATTGATAAATATCTGATCCCTGCCAGTCTACTTGAGATTCAGTAACAGCTGATTTAACTATACAAGGATACACATCCCATGCCTTGTATTAAGTCATGACATTTAGGACAGAAGGATAATAGTTATAGAATGTCTTGTGTCGTAGAAGGTATTGATGAGATGAACGTCTTTTTCATAATCTGGGGGTAATAATGTGTTGCTAGATACCGCTTATTATCTATGGTATTAATTTTATTAATATCTTTGCCAGTGTTATGGATACCTAAAGGGTCACACACTTAGGACTTGTAAGGGAGTAGTATACTACACTAGTGGGAGTAATATTAAATATATAGTTGTGATAATTTTATATATATATGTATTTCGAAAATACATATGTATTTTAAAATTATATTTTGTTTGTGTAATTTTAATTATATGATAATTATATTTTGACAAAACAAATTTTATTTTATATATATATATATATATGTAGCGCCGATATATATATATATTACTTTTATTTTCATCATTTTAATTATATGATAATTATTGATGCAAAAATAAAATGTAATGTATTTTAATATGCTATGGCCGAAATTCTAAGGGGAAAAATACAAAACATATTTTGATATTCCACCTAATGATATATTTGATTTTATAATCAAATATTTGATTAACAAAAGTATACTTGTCTTGTTGTGTTGGTTGGGGACATTACACTAATCTCATTTTGTTTTGTCCCAAAGCAAATTCCTAGAAATTTCTTAATGTATTATGTTATAAAATGAGAAAAATCCCTCCCCATTTTAAGAAGTGATTTTCGGCCATAGAGAGAGATAGGAGAAAATTATTATTTTGTGTTACAAGTTATTTTTATAAAGTGTTAGAAATATACACAAAATATTATAAAGAAATATTTATAAGATAAATAATTTACTATATATTTATTACTCCCAAAGTAGTATTATTGTAGTTTTTACTATCCTAAATTAAACTTGCTAGCACAAGTTTAATCTAAGACTCCGGAGCAAGTTCGTGTGGATACGTTGGAGGCTTCATACGTTTGGCGCTACGTTCATCTCCTCAAAACCATCCCCGACCATTCCTCCGTTCTCCGTTTTCACTGTTAAGGTAAATTTCTTACTATAGCTAGTAATTTACGTAAGTTGTTCTTGGGTGGAATCGAGTTTTGGACTATAAATTTTTGTTTTCCGCTGCGTTATCCAAGCCTCGTTTCCCAACAAAGGCTACCCTACTCCTACCTGCTCAAAGTATGCATCCGCAGAGGAGAGAAGGTCGGCGACTTCATAACTCGGTGGGAGAAGGAGGCTAGGGACGTGCACGGGGCGGATGACCAAGCTTTGGTGGCCATGTTCCAAGCAGCCCTTCCCTGTGGAGAGGTTAGGAAGGAGCTTCGAAGGAATCCTCCCCCCACGTACCAAGAAACCCTGGCGCGCGCTATGTTCTTGGCCTCGGAAGAGTTCGATGATGCTCCCGACTCTGAGGCCGCGTCGGCTAAGCGATCTCCTGCAGACTCCGGAGAAGCCGCGAAGAAGAGGAAGAAAAAGAAAGTGTTGAAACACGGGCTTGTCACGTTTTCGTACTAAAGCCGTGTTCGTTTTTGTAACAGGTTTTGATAATGCCAAACCGCCGTGATCAAGTCGAACATTGAATATACAAGGCAAAGAACGAAGATAAGAGCAAGAGCTAAACGAAGACCAAGAACGAAGACCTTAGTCATAGTATTGAGTCGGTCTTTATTGTGATCAAGACCGACCCAATCTTTACACCTTGGCTCTTTAGGCTAAAATCTCTCATTGCATTTCTTACATCATAAAAATGTTTTTCAAACTTGTTTAAGTCATTAAAAACACTTGGTGTTCGCCCAAACCAAAAACCAAGCCATCCACTGTTCGGCTTTCAGAAACCAGCGTTCCGCTTTCGGTTGTCGGGTTTGGTTTTTGGCATCCGAACCAACCAAGTGGTTTTCATCATTTTATGATCTGCTTTCACTCTTTGGCATGTTTAAACGGTTCTCCAACAAAAACACTTTGAAAACCATCTCTCTCTTTTAGTCGTTTGACAAAAACCACGTAAAACGGCGTAAACTTGGCTAGCCGTGGTTTTTACTCAAATGACGTGATTTTTAAAGTGTCTCACTTGACTTCTTAGCAAAATACATCAAATAAGTGTTTTAAACACTTGGTTTTTATTATGGAGAACTTTGGATTTTTCGGTCGGTTTTTGCATCGGTTGGCTAGGCCGTGGTTAAGGCAAAAACCATAGGTTTTTGGCTAACCACCCACCCAGCGATGGGAAGAACATCCCATCGATGGGTAAGCG